TACTGATACAACACACCAGTTGGAGCCACATAACGTGTTTGACGGATAACGTGCACGTTAAAGTTAACGTGAGTGATACAGCACAGGGCTGAATGATTGAAAATTGAACCGAAAAAAACCAAGAATTTCACTTTACCTGCTTCAATCGGGGGGTTGTTTGTTGAGGACGACGGCAAAGCCGATAAAATCTATCGATGTCAGTTCCGCGTTCCCCAATATGATAAAATCAAATACTTGCCGACAGTGGTCGAAAATCCCCATTTTATGCTGGTGATTTTGCCATAATTAAACGAATTTTTCTGTTGTTCCAGTGCTGAAAGACGAGCCCGATGATTTAACCCACTTGGCCCCAGTGGCCGGTGATGTGTGTGTTCCGCTGGATGAAAACCCCTTTATAACAGACATTCTGGATGATTTCCTGTTGAAAGAGAACAGCTTTGGCCCATTGCTGACCGATGAGCCATCAGATCCGTTCATTTCGTTTCGCGACTACCGCGATTCTTCACCCCAGCTGTTGTCGCCGAATTTATCGAAGGTGAGTTGCAAGCAATACACGAACACTCACCTGGATTCTAAATTTTTGTCGTTTCTAGAACTCTGACAGCTTACCATCGTTGTGCAGTCCAAACAGTTCCCTACTGGATGAGGATCAAATGTCCACTTTCATGAACCTGCAAATGGACGACGATCCGGACTTGGTCATGAAGGCGCCATATATTCCGATGAATTTCTCCGACGATTTGCCATTGTTAATGTCCACCGACCTGATGTGGAACAATAACGACAAAAATAAGAGTAACAGTCGGGTAGATAGTGGTTCGACGTTGGCGCAGATGTTGGGCTCATCTGCGAACAAACGTCCCCAGAAAGGTACTGATAGGGGTGGAGGAACGGTGGAGGAAACTAATGCCGATGTGATTAATGAGAAAAGTAAGGGCTGCACCTTTGAATTATTGCCTTGTTTAGGCACTTTGTGGAATTGTTTGTAGATTGTTGTCTGTCCAGATGGGCGCACAGGTCGTTGAAAAACTCCCGGATTATGACATAAATAGTCTTATGCCGCATCCTACGCTGTTTACGTTAATGTGTTTGTTTATCGTCTATTATCCATACTTATCAGCTAATTTCTT